CAATTCTGGGGAAAACCCCCGCCACATAGGCAAAGCCATCCTGTAGCCTCTCTTTCTGGGGACTCCTGACAGACACTACTCCACATCCTGCTCCCTTTCTGCTGAGCTGGGACCTTACTGAAGCCTGTCAGCTGGGAATTAAGATACCATTTTGCTACAGAAGAGGATGCAGAGCTGTGCTGCAAGGCCTTCAGGAGCCATACGTATTATCAGTGTGATCTGCTGAGCAAACTGGACAAGGCAATACCCTCCTGTCTCTGCGCTCCCCTTCCTGACACATCTGTTCAGACTGCAGCCTCTCTCTGTGCCCACGTCTCCGCTGAGCTCTGCCACCGGAGCTTTCAGAAGGGTCTGCTTAGACACATTTTGCTGTAAAAGACCAAAAAGCTTTAAAAAAAAAAAAAAATTACTTTTTTTTTTTTTTTTTTTTTTAACCAGAAGCAGTTCTGAATGCCTAGGGGCCAGGCAGCATGGTTTGCAACCAACTCTTCCCATGGCTGCTCTGTCAGGCCTCCCCCCTCGAAGGGATGTGTCTGACTCAGACTTCCTCCAAGGCTGTAACACAACCAGAAGCAAAAATACATAAAGTCCAAACCCCCAAATTCCATCTGCCACAAAGTCTAAACATGATTGTAAGGAAAATGATAAGTCCTGGCTGGTGCAGGTTTTCACCAAGCACGCAGTTATGTATGCTGACAAAGGGAAATGGGGCTATATGTCTTTGCAGTAACTGCAGTGGCTGTAAAGCTGCCCACCACGAAACGCCCACCCTGTTAAATGGCAGGCAGATAGCTGCCAACGTAGCCATGGCTGAGGGTGCTACAGAGGTACTACAGAGGTAAATGAAAAAAGAATTTATAAAGCGGTGGTAGATAATTTTCGAAGGCTGTTAATTGCAGTTAGAAGTAAGTTTCATAATCATTTGGGAGAGTTATTGCAGGGAACAGCGCAGAACTTTGGTCATGCCTTCAAAAATAAATAATCTGAATTGGTTAAATAAAACCCAGGCGCGAGAAGACAATTTACTGACTGTGAATTGCTAAAAGCCTGGGGATTAGTCAAAGATAACTCTTGTTTACCAAATGTGTTTAACAGAACAAGAGTGTTTGCAGAAGATTGTTTTGTGGTATACTAATTGTGTATTTTATTTCGAAAATTGAATGCAGAGATGCTATTAAGAAATAAGAACTGTCCACAATACAAACTGTCAGTTTTACTAAGTGAAACTAAAATAGGTTCTCGCTTCTGAAACCAACCAGTTGTTTGCAACATGAACCAGTGCATGATCTGAGCTTTTCTCAAGATTTTTTTCTGAAATCCAAACCAGGGAAATAAATCTCAGCTCTAGCCTTGACGAGACTCAAGACATGTACCAGCTCAACCAGCTTATCTATTTTCACAAGCAAGTCCCAGCGCAAAAATCTGGCCTGTGCAATTAGTTGAAGGATGCCGGTGGGTTGGGAATCAATGCGAGATGGAGCCAACCTCTTCCCACCATCACTGCTGACTTGCTGGGTGAGCCTGGACATGTGACAGGGACAAGGGAGCTCTCGGGGCCTGTTTTCCCCCCAATTATTTGTGCTGCCCAGTTTAATCATGCTCTTGGAAACAGTAAGTGCCTTTCCCTTTTTTCCCTACTGCAGCGCCTACGCCAGTGGGGAGCCTGCCTTGGCCACAACAGGGAGGTGCTACTCCAGCAGCAATGTGCCGCATTAACCTAAGCCTTATTTCATTGCCAAAGCGTGCAGTGGTGGGACTCCAAAGACTGAATTACCGCAGCATACATTTTCTGTAGGTGGGTTGAGCCTCACAAGAATAACAAAGAAAACCGGCTATCAGCCCACAGAAACATGTTGTCTTTCCCAGCGTTCAGGCTTTTTTCCTCCTACCGAGTGCTCCTTTCCTCTGCCAGGACTCCCGTTGTGGCCGCCGTGCGGGGAAGCACCGAGCAGCAGGAGCAGAGCTGATGGAGCTGGAGAGTAGGACACACAGAGCACAACTTCACATTGCAATTGCTCACCCTTGTTTTGGCCACCCACAGGCAAGCAATATCCAGACTATAACACAACCAGAAGCAAAAATAAAATACGTAAAAGTAAACCAGCAGATTTGTACTCCAGTTCTGCACACACACGAAAATGCTAGGAAAAAAACACTAGTATATGCAATCCCTTCTTACATGAATGAAGCTGCTCATGACCTCAAAGCCATGCACTCACTTGCAGGCCTGGAAGTTTAAGTGGTTGAGCATTTCGTTCAGGTGATAGGCAGCCCTTTTTAGTCTTAATCAGCAGACATCCAGAGCGCTTACTCATAGACATAAAGCAAATCTACTTAGGGAATAAATGTCTAAATAAATATAAAAGATGGGATGCTCATCTGTTAATGTTCCTCTGCAGGGTAAATAAAATTATGGGGTTTTTTCACTTCAATTCATGATGGTATTAGTTTATTACTGCATGATAAAAAAGCTCAGGATGCCTAGCTTGCTAGGTCTTCCCTCTGTCCTGGAGTGAGAGGCTGCCCAGCTAAGCTGAGCACTAACGAGAAGGCAGGTGGGCAGCACACAAAGCCATGATACTCATCAGCTGGACGTACAGATAGCCCAGGGGTACGTCAGCTGGCTACCTGAAGTCCGTTAGGTGGAGAAAGAGGGCAATTATTGCAACAGAGACTAAGGAAAATTGGAGCAGGCTGGAGGAGCATCACCTTGCATGATGAGTTCACCATATTTAAGTCTGAGAGAGACAAACAGCCTTTCTTTTAGTTATCTCCCATCTGCCACCTTCATTTGGCCATTAAAACCATTTTTTAAATGATAAAACAAATAATACTGCCTAACTAATGAATGTCGAATTATCGGCGTAAATATGCCAACATTTATTTATTTATTTGCATCCCCAAGAACATGTTCTCCTCAGTTTGCTTTTCTATTTTAATGACTACAATTTATCATATTAACTAGACTTCCAGTTTGCTGGGTTTTGTTTCAAGTTCTGCTTTTTGCTGAGACATCTGTGAGAGGGCAGTCTCAGGTAAGAGAAGTAATAAAACTAATAAAAAAGCAATAGTAACTGTCACCAAAAAGCACAAGTGACCGAACCACCTTCATTTAGTACACAGGGGCCCTTCTTTCTTTCTCTCATTTGCTGATTTTACTGCCCACTTTCCACCAATATTTTACTCTGCTTATGGCAGCTCTCCACAAGGA